GGTATTTTGACGACGTTTTGCAGCTGATCGTACTGCCTATACTGGCAGGTCGTCCAGATTCTGTTTTCCACCAGGACAATGTTCGGTTACACACAGCACGACTTTCCCAACGATGTATTTTTTTTTAATATCCTCGACTGGCCTGTCTGATCTCCAGGCTATTGTCCATCAAACATCAATTGCTGTCGCCATCAAACATGTCGGGCAGGCATATACAGTCATGTACAAATGCGTCCCAACTCCCTGATCAGTTACTCCATCTACCCCAAAGGGACATTGCAAACTTATACATTCAGTGCCCAACTGAGTTTTGGCTTGTATAGCTGCCAGAGATGGCTTTACCACCTACTGATTTTCACAGTCTTTGTATTGCTACTGGTAAATAAAATCTTTTTCACCTCAGTTTTGATCATTTGTGTATCTACCCAAACACTATACCACTGCCAAGTTTCGTAGTTCTTTTCTGGGTGTATTTATTTTTTGCAACTGTTTGTATTAAGGAATTTTAATGTAACCTTTCTAAAAAAGTGCTGCTAGTATTTTGTTTCTGAAAAATTTCGTTACAATATAATTTTATTTTACAACAAATATAGCAGTATTATTTGGATATAATATATATATTTTCTGTATAAAACTTTAATTTATTTAAAGTGTGTATATTTTTACCAGAAAATAGCTATAATTTCATTTTAGTCCAAAAGGGCTTTGTCCCAGGGGGGCTATATCTTTAGTTTTGTGATTTTGTGTCAAATCGCTCTGAATGTCCGTTTCACTTTTTAAATTGTTGCCACCAAATATTATTACCCTGTATTAAAGTTGAGAAATTAAATAATGGAGAATCTGCATAAATGTATGTATGTTTCTCGCATTGTAATAAAACAACGGTAACTTGAGCCATCAAATTTTGAATGATGTAATCCTACTGCGAATGTGGGCATCTGGAAGCCCAAATTTAAAATTTAGAATTTGTTTTATTATTGATATATTTTGTCAGACATTAAAGAATATTGATTAACAAACTCGAGGATTTCAAAGCGAGCAATGGCAACGTTGTAGAAAAAAAACATTTTCATCTCTAGCATGTGAGATTGTGTGTTGGAAATTCTAAAAATATGCTTAATTTAAAATTATTTTGCAATATTGCTCTTGAACTGAATTCTATGGTTTAAGTGTAAAGAACATGATATTTAATAAAGGTAACACACAGAATGTTAAAAAAAGTCCGTTTGGACGCGATTTAAAATCTGAAACTTTTCAGATTTTCTTTTTATTTTCATTTATTTTGATTCTTAGATGGTCATTATTTTTTACAAACTAGAGAAGATGTGTATTCTAAATTGTCAGAAACAAAACTGCTTAGTAGAAAAATTGTCTTTGATAACATTTAGAATTCAAATTTATGGATAGCGGCTGAGTTTTATTTATCATTTAATTAAAAAATTCCAGATAAATGATGATTTCTTAACTCGGTTATGAATAGAGCAAGATTCTAGGTCCTTATTGTCTATGGCATATCAAATATTCTCACATCATTCATCAAGAACTTCAATCAGATACATGTTAAAATGTTTATCTTTATTTCAAGACTTTAATATGCCCATTACTTTGTAGTTCATACTCTGTGCTCTGCACTTGTTTGAACTTCTCCTTCGGGTTGCCATATTTATAGGCAGGAGTAACATTAAATATATTGCAAAGCAAATTAAAAAAAATTAAAATTGTAATGCAAGAAGCAAGTTTCTTTGGAAGATGAACGTATGTGCCCAACCTTATCACAGTATTGTGTCATGGAAAGTTTGGTAACAGTTTTTATTCTGTTGTGTTGTCTTTAAGTATTTGTTTGCTTTGGGTTCAGACAAATGAGGGTATAAGCAAAATAGGCTGGTTTTACAAGATCAGTAGACACAGTAAATTCAATGCATTTACTTCAGTGGTAAAAGTTTTGTCCATTCTGGTGAGGACTTTGTGTAGACTTAGTATGACTGGCACAGCAGCAAACTTTATTCTGTTGATACATAAGTATGTATGTGTACATGATTTTAAGGCTGAATGTATTGTGATAGTGTGCAGATATTGCTATTGAGTTTAGTTACTGCATTTTGATGTGGAGACTAGTGATGAACTGAGGGTCATTATGGAGAGATCTTAGATCTTGATATTTTATTACTAGGCAACCTTAGAGTTGTATCATACACCAGGTCTGTGCAAAGAGTCTGCAGATCCTCCTTGATTGCTATGTGAATACCTAGCAGAACAACTAAGATGATTTCAGACCATATTATTAACCTCAAGAGCCTTTAGGGAGGATTATAAATGCTAGTGAAGTGCTCTACAAAGCCATTTGACAAAGAGTGATAGTCCATTATTGTAATTCTGTTTGTAGCCAGAATGCATGTAAACTCTGAATATATTGCAGAACTCATGTGAGGAACATGGTATGTTATGACCAATAGGCAGAAGGAGTGAGAGATCCATGTGCTGAAAGTAACTTTGCAAACAGTTTGTTATCGTATTGTTGACAGATGTGGCTTCAGACCATTTGGGGAACCTATCTATTAGTATTGAAAGATACTTGTTACCTTCTGATGTTGGTAATGAGCCAACAATATCCAAGTGAATTTTTGAAAAGCCTACATCAAGATGAGAGAATGCACCTACTTTAGTGTGCATGTGTATTTTCGATTTTTTGCAAGATTTCACCCAATTTTTTTTTATCTTGGGCTTCATATCAGGCCATACATCATCAGAACAAATAACCTGTGTACTAACTGTAATCCTGGAGAACTGAGAGATTATGCAGATGATTAAAAATGAGTCTGCAAGAGGAATTTGGAATAAAAGGATGAGGATCATGAGAGAGATGCCGCAAGCATTATTACAATCATTACTCACAAGGCTGAAACTCCTGCTTCAGAAATGATGCATAGTCTTTCAGATAGATTTGTACCCCTATATCATGCTATTGAGCTTCAAAAATTGCATATATTAAATAAAATTTTTTATATATATTTTAATATATATTAATTTATTTAATAATTTTTGTCTCGTTTTTTTATTTAATATAAAAATTTTATATCAAATTTTTGAAAATGTAAAAATTGAGATTTTGCGAGAGAATCGATTTCAGTTCTCAAAAGATCATTGGCAACAATATTCTTAGAACCTTGCACATGCCTAATGTTACAAGAATACCGGGGGGGATGATGCAATTGCTGAAGTGAACATAAATGGGAGTTCTGAATAAAAGCCTATAACACTTTCTGATCTGCATAAATTTGAAAATTCTTGCTCTCAAACATGTGTTGGAATTTCTTAATTGCAGAATAAATTGAAAATCATTTCCTGTCATGTGGACCATTTCTGTTGACTTTTATTGAGTTCCAGAAAGAGAAATGCTGTTGGTTCTCATGTGTCTTGAGACATTTGCATAACAGTTCTGATGTCTGAAGCATCTATCCAGACCCTTATTGGCTCCAGAAATAGGGTGCATGTAAAGGGTAGCTTCAGCATTGGCATTTTCGTTCCAATTTAACTAAATAGATGGATCCCAAATACATTAATAACATTTTTATACGTCTTTCTAACAATTTAAGGAGAAAGAATGTGTGCTGCTTTAGTTATTAAACATGCCTAAAATTTGGCAAAGCTGAGTATGGGTGGTTGATTGAGGAAAACCTAAAATACATTTGACTTTATCAGGAAAAAGTTCATTTCCATATATGAAAATGTAAGAAATTAATAGATGCTTGACCAAAGGCACATTTTGAAGCATTATGCAAAGTCTTCCAGGAGTTTTGAAAATAAGGTTTTCAGATGCCTACGATGTTCCTTGGACTTTTTGGAGACTATCACTAAGTTGATAAAGGATAAATACCTCCTAAATCTAATGTGACTTAATGTACACTGCCTTTAAAAAAAGACCGAAAGTTTGCTTTTCTTGCTTTATTGCTATTTATATAAACTTTAACCACTATGCCCTTCAAAGTGCACCTCTCTAGTGTCAGTACACCGTTGCCATCATTTTTTTCCACTTATGCAATGTTTGCTGAAAATCTGTTAATCTGAGGGCATGCAAGTACTTTAAGTTTGGGAAAGAGAAAAAAGTGTGCTGGGGCCAAGTCCCGAGGGTGCCAGCCAAAAAAATCTAGGCAAAACATCGCAGGCGAAAATGTTGCGTAGAAAACAATGCAAGGCAAAAATGTAGTGGTGCAAAGCATTGTGGGAGAAAAGAAAGCAGAGAAAGCATCGGGGTGCAAAATATCATTGAAAATAAAGCGGTTTAAAAACATAGTTGTCAAAAATATGTGGTAAAAAATAAAGTATTATATTGATGGTCTGTTGATGTAGGAAATTGTTTTGGCATCTGTACTTCTGCCTTCTCGTAAAATGTTGAAATCAGTCATAGCACTGCATTCAGCTTGCAGTTACTAATTAAACCCCTATCACTTCTACCAATGTATGCGCCTAGTCAGGACACTTCTGAGAAACAAGATTCTGGTAGTACTAGGTTTAAACAGCAGGGTTCTGAGAAAAACTGGAGGCAATGCTCTGTCTAGCCGAGAACATGATGTCCTGGCTATGTGGGATATTTTTAAACTTTCCCAAAAATGTTCCGTTTGCAGCTGTGTCTGATGTAGAGATCAACCAATCAGATGAAATTTCTGCTTCTAAAGGATCATTGGTAATTTCCAATATAGCGACAGCTGTAGTTTGACATCTTGGATGTTAGAAATGGAAGCCAATTTTATTGAAGGGGTAAAAAAAAACTATATTTGTGTACTGTGTTTTTATATTATAACTGTCCAAGTCATTTTTAAAATGCTTATATCCTAATTAAATTTTTATGCTGTTACCATTATCATTAAAAATGTTATTACCTTTATTATTATCTTTTTACCTTTTGTTTATTTATTTTCAATTTTCAGAAAGAAATGTATGTTATTGTGCTTTAAGTAGATATATTTTTTAATTCATGTCATAGCATTTTTTGTTTCTTGTAGAACAATTGTCTTAATGGAATCAAATTGTAAAAGTATTCATGATGATAGAAGTGGAGTTAGCTGGCATGATTTGAGTAAGTCAGACTATGCCAAAGTTATTTTCTGTGATTTATATAATTTACATCGCAACAAAGTTGGATGCAGATTCCAGATCACAGATAATGTGCATGAAGACCCCTGTGACTATATTGGACTTTTTCGTGTTGGATATGACAATATTTCACAGTGCCTTATTTTTAAATTGCTGTCTGAAACAAAATGTGAAGAAGATGGAAAACAACTTTGCTGTGAATTTAAATGTATGTACATATTCTTTAACTTTATAGTTTTAAAGTAAAGTAATTTTAGTTGTATATTAGTAAAGTGTGTGAGGATGCAAAAATGTGTTAGGTAATGCATGTAAAGGTGTTTCGAATTTTTCAAAAGACATTTCTGGCTGCTAGAATGAGCAATATGAAATTTCAGTGTTTAAACTTGAAACCACAACGCTTATGAAATGTAATATTTTTTCAAATCATGTATGTACATCAGGATTAATTGTATATAATTTTTCAACTTTCATTAGATTGCTATACATTGGTAAATAAATGATATCAGATTATTGTGTTGTACAAGGGGTGATCAAATGAAAAGGTACGAAATGACGTAAAAACGTAACTGTTAAATATTTACATATTCTGCCACGGGAGAACATAGCGAGACATCTCGGGATGCGATTGGTATCTCTGCGATTGGGATCAGAGCATGTGCGGATGCTTGCATGTGCAGGAAAGAGCAGAGGCTCTTATCAAAAGCGGCGTCCAAATGATGTGGCTGTCCGTATAAGGACAGGATAGTGTTCGCGTTGCAAAATTTGATGACTGAGGAGCAGCAAGGTGTTATCCGATTTCTGACGGCAGAATGTGAGAAACCGGCAGCTATTCATTGCTGGATGGTGCGTTTATGGGAGAATGTGTTCTCTGACAAGTCTGTCAGAAAATGGAGTGCCGTTTTCGTGGCAGGCCGTGAGAGTGTGGGTGAGGACCCGAGACCAGGCCAGGCAAACACTGTCATCACAAGCGATCTCATCGACAAGGTGGACGACCTAGTGAGAAGTGATTGGCGTTACATTGTGAATGCTGGTGGTGAAGGTGGATGTCAGTTATGGAATTGTGTGAACACTTGTTCACGACAGGTTGCGATATCGGAAGGTGTGTGCCGCTTGGGTTCCAAAGCAGCTCACCGACCAGCAAAAGGAACTGCGTATGGGGCTAGCACTGTAACATCTTTTTTGGTAATCAGGAAGACTCTGCTTTCATGGAGCAGATCGTCACAGGTGATGAGACCTGGTGCCATCACTACGAGCCAGAGACAAAGCGGGACAGCATGCAGTGGAAACGTGCATCATCACCTCCCCGTGAAAAGTTCAAGGCCATGCTGTCAACAGGCAAGCTGTTGCTCACCGTCTTTTTCGACAGTCAAGGGTCCGCTACTTGTGAAAGTCCTCGATCACAGAAAAACCATTAATTCCGATGTGTACTCTGAGACACTCGATGCCTACACAGGCCCATTAAGATCAAAAGACCGGGGGTTTCTCTCCATGACGGATACCACAAACACCTAAAAAAAAAAAAAAAAAAAAAAAAAAAAAACAAACAAACAAAAAAAAAAAAAAAAAAAAAAAAAAAAAAAAAAAAAAAAAAAAAAAAAAAAAAAAAAAAAAAAAAAAAAAAACAAAAAAAAAAAAAAAAAAAAAAAAAAAAAAAAAAAAAAAAAAAAAAAAAAAAAAAAAAAAAAAAAAAAAACAAAAAAAAAAAAAAAAAAAAAAAAAAAAACAAAAAAAAAAAAAAAAAAAAAAAAAAAAAAAAAAAAAAAAAAAAAAAAACAAAAAAACAAAAAAAAAAAAAAAAAAAAAAAAAAAAAAAAAAAAAAAAAAAAAAAAAAAAAAAATAAAAAAAAAAAAAAAAAAAAAAAAAAAAAAAAAAAAAAAAACATGGTTCTTCGTTCAAACAAAACAAACAAACAAAAAAAAAAAAAACATTGGACCAACACGGAGTCAGCACTGGGGGGGGGGGGGGGGGGGGGGGGGGGGGGGGGGGGGGGGGGGGGGGGGGGGGGGGGGGGGGGGGGGGGGGGGGGGGGGGGGGAGGGTTAGGTGGGGGGGGGGGGGGGGGGGGGGGGGGTTTTTTTTTTTTTTTTTTTTTTTTTTTTTGTTTTTTTTTTTTTTTTTCTACATGGAACTGGCCAAGTTCAAGTGGGAAACGTTAGACCATCCGCCCTACAGTCCAGACATGTCCCCCTGTGATTTCCATGTGTTTGGTCCACTGAAGAAACACCTGAAAGGAAGCGCTTCAACTCGGATGACATACTCAAGGACGCTGTGAAGGACTAGGTCTTGTCACGGCCACAGGAATTCTGAGAACAAGGAATCCTGCAGCTTGTTCATCAGTGGGATCGTTGTGCTCAGGCCTATGGTGTATATTTTGAATAAAGTTTACATTTGTACCCACTGTGTCATTTCGTACCTTTTCATTTGATCACCCCTTGTACACTGATGACCAACTGAATTAGAGATACTGCTTGGTAATATGCGACATGTTCTTTCACTCTGATGAGTGGTGGTATAGTGACCCAATAGACTTCTTAAAATGAAAGAAACATTGGGAAGCTAATTAATATATGCTGCACAGTATTTCATAGTGCATGAAGATGGTCATAGCAAGGTCCAGTGCATGCGTATCTCATTCATTAGCATTCCAAATGTGTTTATTAGAATTATGTTCCTCAAACCATCGAGAAGTATCTCAGAACCGATATTTTGCTGTCTTGTAGATACAGATCTCCTGAATGGTGGTGTAGACAAACAAATGAATGTGCTTGAGCTGGCACCAAATCCTATTATTGTTCATCTGTATTAGAGTGACAAAGCCATCAAGGGATCTATTGCTTTCCAAAGAGTTTCCTTATGAAAATATTAATTTTATTTGTTTGAAATGTACCCTATTGTCAGTAGGAATCTGTCACCTCAACTTTTTGATGAGCTCATACTATGCCAACTGAATTGCCTGATTGATTAACTGAGTTGTCTAAGTAACTTTTTCTCATGTTTTAAAGATCCAGGGGCAGTATTTCATGATCCACATTACTCTGTGCCTTGTGACATGATGAGCAGAGGTATCTTAGTGGGTTGGTGACTTCTGCATCCTATAGTTCTGGACTTCTAATACTTTAGTGTTTTCAAGCATTTGTGGCATCTATCTGGTATTATCCAGTTATGGGTGATGAGCCTTTTCACGTTATTTACCATATAATTTAACTCTGTTAGTGGAAGTCTGTCGGAATCCCCATTATATGCATTTGTGGCATGGTGGGTTCATGAATAATTCCTGCATAATTCTGGAGATGAATTGCCTCATATGTAATACTCCAACATCCTTTCTATTATCAAATATACTGAGATATTACCTATCAGGAGTTAAGATGTTAATCTGACAGATAGTACAAGATCTGAACAAGTGATGCATCTCACTGCACTTTTCTATTCACCAGACTATTGTCTGTAATTCAGTTGTTCATCAGTGTATTGTTGGATTACGATTTATAGTGAAGCTGATTTAATTTATCTGTATCCTTAAAGGTATGATTTTTTATTTTATTCATATCAGAGGTAATTGTTTATAATTTATGTTCTTTGTTCTAAATTCAGAATATGAAATATATATGTTCTCAGAGATTATGGAATATATATATGAGTGCTAAATTAGGCTTTTGATGATTTCATGTTTTGAGATTTAGCAAATAAGAATTTAATTTTTAGTCTAGTTCATGTTCAAAAAACTGTTTATCTTCACCAACTGATTTGATAGAAAATGTGTTTCGTGTATTAACACTTTTTTTTATGTTTTAGTGTAAAATGTTTAAAAACTTTAAATATATATAAATATTAATTTTTTTGCTTCTGTTTGTTGTTTTGAGAAAAAAGTAATTAAATGAATAAATATGTATTAATTAAAAACTTTAAAATTCTGTTTTAATATTTAAAACAGTAAATTTGTAGTAAACATTTACTAGAGAGCAGGGTAAAGATTTTACTTCGTACTCACTTTTAATAAATTAAAAACTATTACTCTGAATAAAGTAAGTGAAAAAATGGGAAACAGTTTATGCATTTTTTATGTTTATGTCTCTTACACTTTTATGACATTTTATCTGTCCTGATTTATTTGTGTTTGTGTTAATATTGAAATATTGGTATGCTTTCTGATGAGCCGTATTTCTGGTTTCACCATGCATTCTTGGTGCATTTTTGGGTAAATGGTAATAATGGTAATGGTAATGATTATGGTGCACAACCTGGACAGGTTATTAGCACCAGACACATGATATTTAAAGAAAAACAAGTTGTAGTCACATCCACAAATAAATTCAAGGCAATTACAAGTTTAATAGAAAAACAGACTTATAGGATAAGGTGCATTTTTGTGTATACACATGACAATAGTCAAATTAAACATTTGTTAAAGAATTTACGTAATTAAATATAGGTGGATTAAACTGATCTCTTCTATTATCTCATAGTTCCAAGAACTGTAGATTTTAAATGTAATCAGTATAATGCAATTAAAAAGAAGGTTGATTACCACATTATTTAACTCTGTGCAGATATTGATGAAATGAAAAAGAATGTGCTACTAGTTACAATTAAAGTCACAGACATTAAAATGATTCAGATGTGCTTGCTGTGATAATATGAAAAGAAAGGAAAAAAATGGGGGCAAAAGAAAATGGACTATGTAAAGATATGTTAAAACCTCAAAACTTTGGTTATCTCTTATATCCATCCGTAATTTAACCACCTTCCCCCTCCCAAACTTGAAAACTGCCTCAAAGTTGAAAGATGTTGCCCCCCCCCCCCAATTTTTTTTTTTTTTTTTTTTTTCTTTCTATGCTTATCAGAAAAGTTGCTTTCTTCTCTCACTGCAGTGCATAGGATTGCAATTTTAAGACAAATTAAATCAGAAATTTTAAAATGTTATTTGAGAGAGATTAATTCAAATTTCCTGCCTGAATGTCATTGCAGGAAAAATCATAAACCTTTTTTAAATCTATGAATATAATCTTTCTGGCTATAACTCTAGTTATCAGAAAGTATTAAAACTTGTTTCATCAGAGTTCGGTTTTCAAATCCAGAATCAGCAAAAGTGATGATGAAGTAAGGATAGATAAAGAGGACTGCAATTTCTTAGAAACATGCATTATTTTATATATATTGTTACAGATTTTGTTTTTGGTGGGCTATTTTTAGTAGAATAGTAATTAAAATTGTTTTATATCCCAGTGCAATGCAGCACAAAAACTTATTTTAAGAGAAACCTAAGCTGGAAAAGGAAAAATGCAGGAGCACACGCATTTAACATTTAATAACTAGATAACTCGTAATTTATATTTAAATGGAATAAATGCAATTGTATGGTAGTTGTAACTGTAATTCTTCTCTTTTGCTTTCCAGAAACCTCGAGAAAATAAAAATTACCAGAATGTTCTCGTGCAGGATTAAAAAGCTTTAAGAACCCATAGAAAAACATCTCGGTTGAATTGTTTTAGTGAGGTGTATTTGTTTACTTATTTGTTGTTGACTGTAGCGAATTCGCCGTGAAATCGGATTAGCTTTCTCTGTGCTTTGAATTGTGTTCTGTTTAATGTTTCAGTAGTTCAAATATAGCTACTGATAATATTGCGTGATATTGTATGAATAGCTGTGAGGAAAAATTTCAGCATTTTGTGATGCTTCTTGTGATAAGAATAAATTTTTTATTAACTTTTCATCAGATTTGTGCATTTAATCTGTTTCGAAGCCATACCCACACAACACTTTATGGAGTGGGGTTCAAATCCACATTCTTTCTCAAGAACCAGAGACTGGATTTCAAAGCTGTATCCGGTGTGTTGGAAGTGTGCTTTGGCGAGAAATGTTTAAAAGACAACAGTAGGCTTCAATTAAAATCCTGTCAACAAAAGCCCACGGAAACACTCCAGGAGCCCGCCACGGATGTTGAAAGGCTATCTCACCTTGCCTTTACATTGTGTCTGACAGAAACAAAGAAATCCTGTCCCTGCAATACTTCATCAACAGCATCCAGGATCTCGAAATACAGAAAGCCCTGCAAATGGTGGGTGTCAAGGACATAAAAATCGTTCTAGTGTACGCCCTAAAATTCGAGGCAACCCAGCAAGCAACTTGTAGAGATCGCTATCCAGTCAGAGCTGTGCGGGTCCACAGGCCAGTCAGTGAATTGATGGCTCGTTTAGATAATTTATCCAGACAAGTCGATGCTTTGATACAGAGTAGAAGTGAATGCAAACTGGCTCTAAAGTGTTGGAAATATGGTACTGAAGGCCGCATAGACATCATTGCAAAACACTCCAGGGCACGGAAAATAAAACAGATGATTTGACAAGTTCAGTCAGTGCCTTGAAACAGAATAGGACTGTAAAGAAACAAATCCTAAAGTACTGGAACTGTAGTGTTGCAGGCCACATACAGAGGAGCAGCAGAACACCCCAGAGTGCGAAAAATAAGACGGAAACCAGTTTTGACAAGAAACCAGTGTTGGAACTGTGGAGCTGAAGGCCACGTATGTAGAAACTGCAGAACACCCCAGGGCATGGAAAATAAGACCATTTCCCAGCAACGGCACAAGAAACTAATTAATGGCCATCTTAAGGGGGTAGAGGTTGCCAGATAATAAAAAGCCCCAGTTTAAAGCACCTCAGATTTCTGCAGCGAGTAATGTCAGTAAAGGACTTTCATCATGGGACATAACTATGGGGTTTCTTGCAGTATGACGATCAATACAGGAGCGAATGTCTTGGGGGGGGCAGTGTTATGGATTTTGTATTTAGTTAATTAATTTTACTAGAATTGTAATTAAAAGGGTTTTATATCCCCATATAATACAGCACAAGACTTATTTTAAGAGAAAGCTATGTCAGAAAAGTAAAAATACTGGAGCATGTGCATTTAACATTTAATAAATAAATGTCTCGTAATTTATATTTAAATTGAATAAATACAATTTTGTGTTGGTTGTAACTGTAATTCTTCTCTCGAAAATAAAATTAACAGAATGTTCTCCTGCATGATTAAAAAGCTTTCAAAAGCTGGAGAAACACATCTTAGTTGAGTTGTTTATTGAGCTGTAGTTGTTTACTTATTTGTTGTTGTTGACTGTAGCGAATTTGCGGTGAGATTGGATTAGCCTTCTTTGGATGACAAATTATGATGGCCGCTTTAAGAAACGAATGGCAACCTCAAAATTAACTATTTTAGATTTTATGTTCTTCCCTAAAGTCATTTGTTCTCCCAAATTTGAGGTCTTTCCATGTTATGTAACAACCTAAATTTAACCAATAGCAGCTTAGATATTTTTATGCATCTACTCTGTATAAATACTGCTTTGCTAAATAACTGCGTCGTTGCCTAGCTTCCACCATGCTGACAACTCTGCGCTGCTATTCTTTGCTGCCTACATCATTCCTTTAAAAACCTGTGTATATAAAATGTATTGTTTTTAACTACGATTGGCTAAATACCTAGTCTACCAAAAAGTGATTTGATGCGAATTATCATGGAATAAAGTTGTGTTTAGAAACGGCCACATCTGGAAGTTGCTGGCTTCTGCATCTATCTCTTTAACTAGGCACCTAAATACTGACACACACACACATATATACCACACACACATATATACCACACACACATATATATATGTATACATGTGTGTGCGTGTTTCTCATCATAAAGTTAAGTTTTGTTTGTAGGTCTTTCTCTTCATACGTTGTTTGTAAATGGTCTCTTGCAAGATGTATAAACGCTGCTCCACTGTATATGAAAACTTCCCAAGAGGGACAAAACTTGAGAATAAGTAATGTCAGCCTATTCTCTTATTGAATTTATTAGACTTTTCTATGGTGCCAACTAAAAAAGTAGTATTTGCATGTAAATAAGTATAAGCTTGTTTGTTTCTTACGACAGACTTCAGATACATTTTCATGAAGTAAATGGATAAACTTTCATAAAATTTTCTGTATCTAATCTTGAAGTAAAATTATTAAAAAGCATCTTCATCACAGACTGTCATAGGCAGTCTAGTTCTTTTGGTAAACTTACTAATTTTAAAAAGCTAAGCTAAAAAAAAAAAAAAAAAAAAACTGTTCGCATGTGTATTCCCAAAGTGATTATTCTTACTGCAAAAATTCTTAATTTGGGATATTTATCTTTCAACAGATATTAATAAAAGTTATCAGATTTGTATCTTCAAGTCTTTGAATAAGATTTATAGTATTGCAGTGTAAATTAGCTCCATTTCTAGATTTTAAGAACTACTCACATTCGCTTTTGGTAACAAAAATAATGTAAAACTGGATTCCAAACAATCAAAATACTAAAATTTTTCTTTAAATTATTGTCATAATAATTCTAATTAATTTACTAGAAATGCATTTGCATGTCGCATGTGGCCCGCAGGCTGCCAACTTGAGACCACTGCTCTATGGGAATATCTTAAATAATTGTGTGGAATGTTAGAGGAACAACACCCGCAGTGCTGCCTCATCTCTTTGTTGAATTGTGATGGCAACCAGTGAATGAGGAGGACAAATTTATGGCCTTGATGAGAGACATCATGATAGCATTTGTGTGATTGGGAAATAGGAATGGCTATCAGTGTTCTTTTATATCTGATTGCTGTAGTAGAATGATGACTATTAACAAGTGTGGACTGCTTCAGTTGACAGTTGTCAAATAAGATTGTTTGAAGTGCTTTTTTGATGTCTTTAAAGTGCCATGTTAACCATCGAGGGATATGATAGGTTCTCTTCAGGAAGACATCAATACATTCTTCTGGATGTTGACTAATATAATAATCTAGTAATGTAATGAGTCTTTTGATTCAGTAATAAAGGTATGTATATAATTTCTGTATTTACTTATGTACTGTTGCTTTTTATTATGGTTTAGTACTTTAATGTTATCAGTTTGGTTTTGATCATGAGTCAGTTCATGGGTAGTAGGTCACCTATTGTGAGTAGTAGGTCACCTCAAACAAAAATTAAATGGAAACTGAAATCACAATCATTCTGAGCAAAAATTCAACCCTGGAGGCACTGCATTCGCTTTTTAACCTCACTACTGCCAGTTTGGCTGCTGTCAATAAAAAATGTAAAAAGTTCTTAAAAATGTGGTTATTATGTCAAGTTACTTGTTATGGCTTAAAAATGTGTGTCTGCTAGAATAAAAAGGAATATTTTAATTAAGACATGACCACAAGCTTCTTTCTTCATCTTAATGTTCATATCAACATTCCAAAATTGATATATCAAGTTGACAGGATACATTTGTGTAATTCAACATAAAGTACATCTTCAAAATTAAAAGTCATTTCTCAACTGAAATTCAAAGTTACTTATACAGTGCTTGCATAATATTTCAGCCAGCTCTTCAAATTTTTGCTCAGAATAATTTAGTTTTTATTTAATTTTTATTGGTTAGTTTTAAGAGTGTAAAATTATTATTGCTGAAATGGATAATTAAAGGACTCTTTAAAATAAGGTAAGTATTTTGATTTGCATAATTTTTATTTTGCCTAGTCTTCTCATCAGCTTTTTTGCTTTGCTTTTCTCAACTTGCTGCCACCTGCCATTTTCAAAAGTGTAAAAAGTTCTAGAAGAAGCTCAAAAGAACATGGAAGCGAGGCAACGCTGTGACAGGTTTAGTTTTAATCAGGGTGCACAATGAGAAGGCCTGTCACCTTACACCCTAAAAATGGATAAGGAGCATATCGACAAATGCACTGCACTATTGTCTTTTAATTCTATTGTTCTTAAGTATTAGTAAGCAAGATCAAGGCTAATGGCTCAGTGCTCCAGATATCTGGATTTGTAGTTTTTTGTATTGTTTTAAAAAATTTGTGTTAACTAGAGTAAAAAAGATAATTAAAAATTGGACATGATTGAAAGCTTTTACTTTATCCATCTCTGCATTCTTATTAACATTTGAAAATTATTGCATATACATGTATATATATATATATATATAACACTTTCATTATTTTTCTAGGGGATGAATTACCAAAACTTGAACATGGTTTTTATCAATTTGTGTATATCACATGTGATAAAGAAATCTGTGGAGCCAGCATGCCTTTTGAAATAAGGGGTTCTGATGCCCAAAATGATTCATCTGATGAAGATATAGTGGCTGAAAATGTTGAAGATGATTATATTCTTGTGAAATCGAATGCAAAAGAAAAAGTTACTCTGTTGCTTAGTTTGCTCGATGAATATCGTGTAAAAAATCTCACCCTCTCATCAGAACTGGAAAAATGTACAGAAGAAAAAGCAAAATTGATGAAAGAACATGAAGTAAGTTTATTAGTAGTCTCATTAATATTGTATTTGAATCTAAGATTTACTCCTTATTCAGTGCTAGAAACGTGAAGGAGTCAGATTCTATTTTATTTGGTGCTTTCTGATTATCTGCATATCTGATTTCCAAGTACCATAGAAATGCCATGTTTTTGGTGTATTTTGGAATATACATACTATAATAACCAATATATGTATGCACATGTCACGCAAGTGTTTGAGTACATATTTATTCATACTTTATAGTTAGTTACCTGTCATGTTGTTGAATAGCATTTCCCATATAGATTTGTTTTTCCTCATGACATCTAATTTCTTATGAATTGCTTTTTCATTTATGAGTAGAACAGTACGCAGGAACCATAAAGGTAGCCAAACAAAAATTTTATTCCAATTTACATAGTCGAATCTTGACGACTCAAGTTATGAGTTGTTGACAACTTTTTGGCATTGCAGATAATCAGAAATCAATTTTTTGTACTATTTAAGTTTGAGGCTAATCTTTGGAATATGATAACAGGTAGTTTGGCGACATTTTGGTAAGGCAATAAAAGTTACTAGCTAGGACTTTTGCAGTGTACATAAATAAAGTCAAGAGTGTGTGCAATGCCATATTTGTGCAATTCTGGGATGTTTTTTTAAGTGAAAATAAGTCGATGTGTACATGGATACCGTGTCTGTGCAATTCTTAAAAAGCGGCAAGCAGTGAGCAATTCTGCACTTTCTCCCAATTTCGCACCTAATCTTCGTCATGATTAAGCACTTTTGTTCCATAAAAGTTCTAGCATAAGTGTAATTTGGCTAGCAGTTTGTTGAAAAAAAATGTTGAGTAAAAAAAAAATGCCGTTACTTCGTGAAAACAAAATGGCGTCCCAAAAAAAAAAACTAGCAGGTTGCTGTAGCAGGGTTGGTCGCCAAATTTTCGCCAAAAAATCATTAAGTTACCATAATCCGAAGATTAACCAATTTTGATTTATTAATGATAATAATATATTGGAATAATTAATTTGGAATTTTTAGGAATTCAGAAAGATTTGTAGTTCTGAGATGCCATTGATTTTAAAATATACCTAAGTTTTATCAGCATTTATATGGGAAAAAGTAAATACCTTGAATGTGGAAGTTTTATATTTTAAAATAATTGTATGTGAATTGATTTTCGTGATTTTTTTTTTTTTTTTTTTATGTTATAGGAGGATGTCCAGAAAAAATATAAAATTTTGTCGTTTGCTTTTTAATTAAGTTGTAAGTTGAAAATAATTAATTTTTGTTATTTTTTATTATTATGTGTACTATAGAATTTGTGTAAGACATTCCCATCTGAGGAGGTTTGTCATTTGAAATATTTTATAAAATCTTATTTTATATTCAGGGAGCTAAACTCTTGCCACTCAGTAGTATCTTTAGTAGACTCAGATCCTAAAATGTATTTCAGTAGGTTTATTTACTTGTTTACGTTAGATAAGTCAAAATAGAAAGGCTAACCACTGTTCTGTCACAGCCATAAAAGAGGCTTCAGGTGTTACAGATTTAAAAATTTTCTTTTGCTTAATGCAGATATCGCTATTTTGCCATTAATGACTGGACACTGGTTATAAAATTGCTCAAATGTAGGTAGTATGGTGTCAGTTTGATACTGGTCTGACATTCATCACTTTTGTAGCCTTAGAGCAAGGATGTCAAACTCGCGGCCCACAACAAATATTTTTGCGGCCCGGCCAATATATCGGCAAACAATAATACATAATAATAAAATAACATATCGACGAAGAAAAAAATGAAATGTTTACTGCTAAGTAATTAACGATAATTTATTCAGTGTTGTTAGATTACTCACAGCGAGCTGACACACACACACACTACTTAAATTACAAATGCGTGTGAGTAGCTTGCGTTCAGCTACCTTCGGCTTTTGGGGGACACGTGCACTCAGAACTTGTACGCATCCCCCGATAGCCGAATGTGGCCGAACTCATGGTCTCAGTTTTCCAATCATAGTTTTGTACGATATATTGGTGCATGCATGTGCATGCACTTTGCTTTATTATTAGTATTATTACTTAATTCATATTGTTACGGATTTCATAGTTATTTATTTATTATTTTTTTTTTTATTTAGAATTGTAATTAGATTTGCTTCATGTTGCCTTAGCAACGCAGACGATTTTTGAAAAGACAGCTGCGTTGGAAGGTTAAAAATAGAACAGCGCGTGCATTTAATACCTAATAAATAAATATCTCGTAATTGCTGTTGCCATCCACAAAAAATCCTGGTATTTATAGATGTTTCCAGTATCTTCGAGAAATTAATTATAAAGCTTATAAAAGCCGAGACTCATCTCAGTAGACAACTCATCTCAGTAGTAGCTGTAGTTCTAGCGAACTGTTTGTTTGTTTACTTAATGCTGCTGTGATTGATTTGTAGCGATTTCGCTGTGAGATAGAATTAGTTTCTCTGTTTTGAATTGATTTTTGCTAAACGTTTGACATTTTGTGATATTGTTAGAATATTTTTGAAGAAATATTTCAGCATTTTGATTTATCTCTTGTGGAAAGAATAAATTTTTGTTAACTTTTTAACGTTAACCGTGTTTATTCCAGCCCTTTGTATTCAGTATGTCTATATCAAAACCAAGTGGTAGTAAAATTAAACGAAAAATCGCTGACGAACATAGAATATTCCAAGTAAAATGGGAATTAGAATATTTTTGCTGTGAAATAAAAGATAAAATAATCTGCTTGATATGTAATAATACTATTAATGTACCAAAGTTATATAATATTAAACGTCATTACGAACAACACAAATCGAAATATAACAATTACGAAGGATTAATGAGAGAAGAAAAGTTGAAAGAGCTCAAGTTAGGAGTGAAAAAGCAACAGTCCATGTTTAGTAAAGTATTGCAAGAAAGTGAAGCGGCGGTACATGCAAGCTACGTCTTGTCCGAGTTGAGTTGATAGCTAAACATTCGAAGCCTTTTACTGACGGTGATTTCATCAAGGAATGCCTAATGAAAGCTGGAGAAATTGTTTGTCCTGGAAATGTGAAGGCTTTTCAATCAATTTCATTGTCTCGAAATACAGTTGCGGAAAGAGAGTTACTGATTTAGCCGCGAATTTAAGTGATCAGATCAAAGCAAAATCATCTAGTTTCGAAAGTTTCTCCATTGCCTGTGACGAGAGCACGGACATTAGTGGCAAAGCTCAATTAGCAGTGTTGTTTCTTCGTTCTTGTGACAAGAATTTTAACATTTTTGAGGAATTACTGGAACTAATACCGATGCCTGGTACTACCACAGGAGAAGATATATTTATGTGTGTTTTTGGAATTCTGCAGAAATACAATCTACCTTTGGCAAAATTAAATTCTGTAGCTACAGATGGCGCTCCATCAATGACCGGGAAAAACAAGGGCTTCGTAGCATTACTAAGAAAAAAACTTAGTGAAATTCACGGTTCAAACATTCATCATATGCATTGTATTATACATCAAGAAGTTCTATGCACGAAAGTAATAAATATGGAGAATGTTTTGTCATATATAAAAAAAGTTATAAATTTTATAAGATCTCGAGGTTTAAATCAGCGTCAATTCACTGCTTTCTTAAGTGAGTTAGATAGTGAATATTCGGGTTTGTCCTACTATACCGAGGTACGTTGGTTATCTTGCTCCAAGATTCTCAAACAATTCTGGGATTTGAAAGAAGAAATATGTCAGTTTTTAAAAACGAAAAATCAAGACGTAAGTTTGTTTTACGATCCAATATGGATACAAGATTTATCTTTCTTGGTTGATATAACCAAACACTTAACCGATTTAAATTTATCGTTACAAGGAAAAGATCATATCATTACGAACATGTTTGACATAATTAAAGCATTCAAATGTCAACTAGTTCTTTGGGAAAAA